ATGCACAACTGTGCCCAGTTCATTACATCCAAACTTATGAGGAGGGGATGATACTTACTGTTCCTATAATTCTCCAAAAGTGTTGAATAAAACAGATTCCATGTATTGTCACAAATAATAGTCACAATTGAGATACATTTTTCTTTTAAGTCCATGATTTTTTTCATTTAAATGAAAAATTGTCTCTAGTCTGCATGCAATAGTTTGCCTTGTTTGAGGTTTCAATCTGTATCTTAAGTTGGACAAAATATTTACAGCCTCTAAGAAATACTGATAATAGGAAATATTTACTGAGAAATGAAGAGGAAGGAACCCAAACATGGTTCTTGCCAACCCTTCTATCACCTCCCCCACATCTTCTTGTGAGGATCTTGTCTGCCCTGTTGATTTCTGGGACATGTAAACATGGCAAGCTTAAGGTCGTAGGCTATAAGATTATTCAAAGTTAGAACTGGAAAATAGCAGGGGATAGTCTAGCTTCTTTTCAATTTCTTTAAGTCTTGTTGTAATGTGGTAGAGGATAATAGAGTCAATGAGATCAGTACTGATCAACACTTAAAAGGAAATAAAACTTAAAATATCATCATATATTGTGTAAAATAAGGGTGATACTTCATGAAACTTTTGCTTTAGAAGTGTTTTTATGTGTGTACACATGTGTATATCCTGGGTTGAGATGTAGATGTGCATTTCTTATGGAGGATCACAATTAAAAAGTTTTTAAACCCCTGGTTTCTTCTYCCTTTACTCGCTTTGCTAATTAACTCTCTCTCCAAAACTCTGCCATCATCTAGTGAATAAAAATTATAGTAATAACCAGAGATGTAAGGCTCAATCTCACTCTATAAATAGCTGGAATGCAATGACTGTTGTCCCTACCTCATTGTTCAGAGTCAATCACATGTTCAAATATTAGGACTGAAGGGCGAAAGACCTACCACCTCACTAAGTAAGAGATTATAGAAAAATCTACCTCAAGATTTATCATCTGTGGGCTAGGGATGTAGATCAGCACTAGAGAGCTTGCTTTGTATGTGCAAGGCCTTGGGTTTGATCCCCATAACTGGAAAAAAAAAAAAAAAACAACTTATCTGCCTAATCCCATTGGTCCTCTTGACCCACAAAGTCCAAAGGATTCACCTTGGCATTCAGGACCCTATTTGAACTTTCCAGACTGATCTCCCTCACACTAATCCTGTATTCCAGCCAAACAGACCTCTTGGTGTTCCCTAAGCACCCCATCAATTTCCTACTCTTGGGTTTTTCCCCCTTTATTTTATTTATTTATATGAGGTGCTGAGAATCCAAGTCAGTGTCTTAYRCATGCCAGGCAAGTGTGCCACTGCTGAATCACAGCCCTAACCCCTACTCTGGGTTTTTGATTGCATTGTTCCTTCTGCCTGGGATAGTCTCCTGACCTCATCTATCTCTGCTTGCTAAAGTCCCACCCACACATTACAGATTCCACTTTCAATTTCCTTTTCTTGAATCCTAATATATTTTCCTTTCCAAATTAATGAATATCTTTTAAAAATTCCTCCTAAAATACTTTAAAAGCATAGTTTAAAAAATTATCTTCTAGGGCTGGGGCTGGGGCTCAGTGGCAGAGTGCCTGCCTCGCACATGTGAGGCACTGGGTTCGATCCTCAGCATCACATAAAAAAATTAATAAGCAAAATAAAGATATTGCATTCATCTATAACTAAAAATATTTTAAAAATTATTTTCTCTATGTCTAAGAGAAATATAAATGCACTGTAAAAGTAAGAAAATACAGAAGTCAGAGAAAATATAAAAGTCCCATTTTTAATCTATTCATGATACATATTATATTTCCTTACAGTGTATTTTAATTACAAGTATTTCTTATGTCACTAGTCTTTTTCTTCAACATGATTTTTAATGGCTACACATAAACTAATTTAACAGTCATAACATTGCCATTTTGTTTACATGAATGTACACAATGTTGGGAGAAATATATGGGTGATATCCAGTGTATGGTGTCAAATTTCCTTAAAGAGCACAATACAAAATTTATAAACAAGAAATTTGGGCTCAGGCCAAATCTCAACTCAAAGTGGTGGCAAAAACCTGTAATTTTAACTATTTAGAAGGTTGATGCAGGAGGGTCACTGTTTGAGGCTATCCTCAGCAGCTTAGGGAGCCCTTGTTTCAAAGTGAAAAATTAAAAGGGTAGTGACAAAGTGTTCCTGGATTCAATTCCCAGTACTGGAAAAAAGAAAAAAAAAAAAATGGGACCAGAGATAATTACAAGAAGTACAGGTGCTGGGGTTGTGGTTCAGTGGTAGAGCACTTGCTTAGCAAGTGTGAGGCACTGGGTGTGATTCTCAGCACCACATATAAATAAATAAAGGTCCACTGACAACAACTAACTAACTAACTAACTAAATAAATAAATAAATAAAAAGAAAAAAATAAATACGCGTTTACCAGGAATCTCTGGAGATACTGGCAAATATGTGGAGTTTCCCATGATAAGTGGTGTAGGGATTTGAATCAATTGTTCTTAAGTTTTAAAGGACAGCGAATTTACCGGAAACATGCATACCTCTCCGCTTCAAAATATTTCTATTGACCTACACCTGTAATCCTACCTGCTTGGGAGGTTGAGGCAGGAGGATTACAAATTTGAAGCTATTAGCCAGTGCAAGTTAACTCGACCCTGTCTCCAAAAATGCTTCTATCTTCATGCATTCTTTAGAACTTGTAGAAGAGTTTCCCTCTGACTTCTTCCTCTCCCCATCTCCTTTTCCTTTTTTGGAAACTTGCACTATTAATTATTCGGTCTCCCCTCTCAGCTCCTTTATTTAAGATATCTCAAATTGGACAATTTTTTCTTCACTTTTAAACTAAAAAAAAAAAATCCCTTTTTTATTTTTACTAAGCCTTTGAATTATAATCCTACTTGTTTATTTGTTTTGTGTGTTTTTTTTTTTTTTTTTTTTTTTTTTTTGCGGGGATGGGGTACCAGAGATTGAACTCAGGGGCACTGAGCCACATCCCCAGCCCTATTATTTGTATTTTACTTAGAGACAGGGTCTCACTGAGTTGCTTTGTGGCTCGCTTTTGCCAAAGCTGGTTTAGGACTTGCGATCCTCCTGCCTCAGCCTCCTGAGCCGCTGGGATTACAGGAGTGCATCACAGCGCCCGTCCATAARCCGACTTTTATTATCTCTCCCTGTCAAACTTCTGGAAAGACTCCTCACCCTTTACTGCCTTCATTACCAACATTCTTCTTACTCCTTACCCAAGGCTCAACTGGGCTCAGGGCCTGGTGCACAGCAAGCCTGGTTGAGTGTCATTTCCAGTCTCTTGCGGTGTCCTGTCTTTCCGGGTTCTTCAAAAGGAATTTCTCCGTGGTTAGTTGGTTCTCACCGCGTCTCCAGAGCCTCCTACGTGCATTCCCACACCCTAACTTTCTTGCTGTTTTAATGGTGCAGACCCATTTCCAGGTATGTCGGGTTCTTGGAAGGTCCTGCCCGCCTCTCCGAGTTTTCACTTGGGCAATCATAGCTTCCCTGGTAAAACCCTTGAGAGCCTCCCAGTCTACAGTGAGAGGCACCCGATGCCAGTGCCCCAGCTCCGCTGACCGMGCGTTCCTCGGTCACCCCAGAGGCAACGTGTCAGAGCGCCCAGCGCCTCCAAGACTACGTGCATGTCTTTATATCCAGCAATGGCCAGATGTTTAGTGAGCACCTGAGTGCCAGGCCCACGCCACCCCTGCTTCCTTTCACTTAACAGCTTTTACTAGGCCCCAGTACACGTCAGATCTAAAAGAAGAGGACGCCGTCCTGGCTCCTGAGGCGCTCGCGGTCCTCCAAGGCGAAACAGTCGAGTGGGCAGGTTTGGTCCCTCTAGTGGGCGGCTACCACCCCACTGAAGGCCCCTGCCCCAGGCACGCCAGAGGACTGGAGACTTAGGTTGCAGGGAGCGGCCGCAGGCCCTGACCGGGGAGTCCAGCGGGCCCGGCGGGGGGGATCCGGTGGGGGCCGCGGGGTCCCTCGTAGCCCTGCGCGGCGCCGGCCCCGCCCCGCCCGCCGCCGCCGCCGGCCCCGCCGCGCACCCGCCTCAGGCGGGAGGCGGAGGCCGGCCCGCGCCGGGCAGCCCTTCGGCCGCACCGCCCTGGCCGGTGCCCAGGTCCGAGTCCCTTCCGCCCGCGCCCCGCCCGCGCCCGGCCGGGCCCTGCCGCCGGCGCCCGCCCCCGCTCCGCCCCCGGAGCCGCGGCCCCGCCCGCCGCCGCCGTCGCCATGTTGTGGCGCCCGCAGCCGGCGCTGGGGACGCGCGCGGCTGAGCCCCGGGCCTGCAGCCGCTGCCGCCGCCGCCGCCGCCAGGTAAGCGCCCCCCGGGCCCGGGCCGGGCGGGACTGCGCCGGGGCCGCCTCCGGGTCGCCTCAGCGCAGGCTAGGGTCGAGCGGCACCGGGACCGAGCCTGCGCCCGCGCCCGGCCGGGCCCTGCCGCCGGCGCCCGCCCCCGCTCCGCCCCCGGAGCCGCGGCCCCGCCCGCCGCCGCCGTCGCCATGTTGTGGCGCCCGCAGCCGGCGCTGGGGACGCGCGCGGCTGAGCCCCGGGCCTGCAGCCGCTGCCGCCGCCGCCGCCGCCAGGTAAGCGCCCCCCGGGCCCGGGCCGGGCGGGACTGCGCCGGGGCCGCCTCCGGGTCGCCTCAGCGCAGGCTAGGGTCGAGCGGCACCGGGACCGAGCCTGCGCCCGCGCCCGGCCGGGCCCTGCAGCCTGCGGACCCTGCCCGCCGCCCGAGGCGGCAGCCACTGCCTGGACGGTCGCCTGGTGGGCCCGGCCGCCACCCAACCCAGCCCCCGGCCGCGGCTACCGGCCCCTTCCGCCGCGGTGATCGCCGCTCCGGGCGGGCCGGGCGCGCCGCTGTCCTCCCTGCGCGGGACGGGCGGCCGCCCTAGGAGACAGCCCGCGGCCCCCCGCCCGGGCGGGGATAACGGTGCCACTTTGCCCCGCCAGGACTCCCTGTCAGCCCGACTGTCCCTGCCACCCGAAGAGCTGGCGCCGTCATGGGGCAGGCACTTCGAGGATCGACCCTCTTCGCGCCCCTCCGCCTCCCCTCCCCTCCCCTCCGCCCAAGTTCTGACCCGGAGAAGGTTCTCCCGGAGCAGACAGGTATTCCTGCTCCAGAGTTAGGGTCCTCTGGGGAGAACGGTCCTGTTGATTAGAGTAGAAATTGTCTCTCTGCAGGGACTCTTCTTGCCAACCTGGGGGTTGGGGGAAGGCTCAGTGTGACCCGAGGGAGGACAGGGGAGCGTCTGCTGGGCAGATGGCCTCCTGGCCTTGGATCAGCGTTTGTGAGGGGGAGGGGTCCCTATGACTTTAGGTGTGCCTGCTCTTGAGAATCGCAGGATTATTAGAGCTGTTCAGGGATTTTTAATTTTTTTCCCCCCAGTAGGCCGGAGGTGACATTAAAAGTGCTGGATTGGAATAAATCCGCAGGCCCACCCAGGGAGGCTTTTTTTTTTTTTTTTTTTAAAGCATCCAGGACTATCCTGGATTTGGGGTGGGAGGCGGGTAGAATGATTTTTACCCCAGGGTTTTCCCACTTGCTTTCAGTCCTCTGTTCATGTAGGGCCTGTAGGGCACTTCTGTCAAGTGTACAGTGTGGCTAAGCACACAGGATGTGGACACATAGGTGCTTGGCCTGGTTGGTACCCCATGGGATTTCAGGGATCTATTTCCTAAAACTCACAGGTAAATTACACAGTGAAGGAGAGGAAGAAATGTCAAGCTACTGGGATATTTTGACCGTTTTCCAATTCTTCCAGTGATCATGACTGATTCATTTAGTTAAAAAAAAGAATTTTTTTTTTTTTTGAGATGGGTTCTCATTGTGTGCCCAGGCTGACCTCCAGCCCCTGAGTTCAAGTGATCCTCTTACCTCATCTTCCCAAGTAGCTGGGCCTACAGGCAGGCACTACCATGCCTGACTGTAAATTTTTATTGAGCACTTATTACATGCCCATGACTGAGCTGGGTGTTGGGGGGTATTGAGGTAAACCAGAAAGACACCACCTTTTAGTTTTGGAGCTCTTAGCCTAGTTCAATAATTAGTAACAAAGAAAATTCATTCAGCAACAAATATTTGTCAACAAATGTGTGCAAAACATTGTTGTAGATGCAGTGAATAAAGCAAGCAAAATAACTGCCCTTGAGTTTTCATGCTAGTGTGTGTGTGTGGGGGGGGTAGACAATAAAATATGTAATACAAATATCATGTTAAAAAGTGCTAACCGCTAAAGAGGAAAACAGGGAAAGAGAATCTGAGGTATCAGGGGTGGTGGGGGTTGAATTTACACTTAAGTGGCCTGGGTTTTTTTTTTTTTTGGTTGTTGTTATCAAGCCAGGGCCTCCTGCTTCACTGTTGAATTACATCCCAGCCCCAGAAGGTGTCTTTGGAATAAAACTTTGAAGAAAGTGGTAAACTAATAATTTCAAACTGGGGAGAAGGAAGTAAAAGAGATTGATTTGAGTGGGGGGCTTTGGGGAAGGTTTCCCTGAGGAAGTGACATTTAGGCCAGAACCTGAGAGGGTTAAGAGTTAACCATGTGTGGAACAGTAGAGGTTGGCAAGTTGGAGGAAGTGAAAGAGGCCTGTGGGTCTGGAGGAGGAAAGGGAGTGGGGTGAGGGGAGAGGGGAGATAAATTTCTGCAGAGAGGTATGGCGGGTCACAGCGACCAGGCCTGAGGGAAATGCTTTCYCTCTTTAGTTTGGATTGTGTCTCTAGTGTAATTAGGAACATTTACATTTTAAAAGGTCTCTGGCCCCATGCAGGGAATGTACTTTGAGATAAGCCGGTAACGCCAGGGTGGTTTCTATGCTGAGTGTCCTAACTACCTGATCTGTTTGAAAAAGTCTTAAGCAGTCCCTGGGAGATCCTTTTCCTTTGTGAGTGGGCTTTACCCAGCTTTCAGAAAGGGAAGGGAAAACTGAATTGGTGTTATGGAGTGCCTGCTAGGTGGGAGAACCGATTTTAATGATTTTTGTATATGCAATCATATTTAATTTAATCCTCTCTGTTCTCTAGGAGAAAGGTTATCATACCTATTTTACAAGGAAACAAGCCCAAAGGGGATAGATGATTTATCCAAAGTCACATTTGTTACAGTCTTAAATTCAAACCCATGTATCTCTGATTCCAGAACCTACTGGTGGTTCTGGAGCCTGACCATTGAAGTTTGTATTTTATTTCTGCTACTTACTAACCAAAAGATCTTCAGTTATTTAATCTATCTGTCCCTCAGTTTCCTCATCTTAAATGCAAATAAAAGTCCCTACCTTATAAGATCGTTGTGCAGACCAAATGAAGCCMTGTAGATAGTTTAGCTCTTAGTTTAAATGTCAGTTGCTATTATTTAAATTTTTAAAATGTCCAGGCTAAAAATAAATAAAATATCCATGCTGCTTCCTAGTCATGTTGTGGTCATTTTGGATAAGATTAAATATATAGATAATTCAGTTCCTGAATTTTGTGTAACTATCTTTTTCTCTCCACTTTTCTTGATAACTTAATGCTGTGTTCCAATATGATCAATCATTCAACATTGATCTCTTATTTCATGCTTTGACACTGTACTAGAAGTTGTGGATACAAAGTGACTTCCTTCTTTCCAGGAGCCCAGAATCCAGGAGAAGTCAAATAAAGAAAGTGCTACAGTATATATTTAAATTCTCTATTACAGTTGTGGTTAAAGAGCTGTTGGGAAAAGTAAGAACAAAATACCTGGTGAAGTCAGGAAGGCTTCAGGGAGAAGGTGACTTTTGAAATGGGCTTTGGAGCAAGATAGGAGTTTTGCAGGCCAATAAGATTGAGCAAAGGACATTCTAGGCAGAGAGAGGCATAAATATGAAAATGCAGAGCAATGAGAGGTCCTGTTGTCTGGGAATGAGGCTGGAAGGCTGACTAGGGGTTGTGAAAAGCAGATCAAGGATTTTGGACCATGGGGAGTACTGGAAAGTATTAGGTACATCAAATTCATTCTGTGAGGGGTGTTGTAGTTACAAAGTCGTTATAGGTGTCATCATAAGGCAAATTTTTATCTGTGGGATCACTGTGCTATAGATCTGGTTCTCAACTTTGTAGACTACAAATTTAGTTTTGTAGGGTACTCAGTTGATTGGGTCCAGGGAGACTGACTCACTCACCAAACTTGGAAGAGACTGATGAATAAACTTAGGATATTAACTGACCATGAGAAATGAAACTGCTGAATGACAGATGTTTCTGTCCTTTGGCCATTCCACCCCTCCCCCCTTTTCTGGCCAGGGCTGGGACACTAACAAACTCTCACTCCTCAATTTGTTTGTTTCTCTCAGACTGCTTAAAAACCAATCCTTTCTCCGAACATAATCATTCCTTACGTACTATTYGATGTAGTCAGCAGTCATTATTAATGGATAGAATGAGTGATTCTGTATAATTGGGTGATTGTGAAACTTAAGAGGAGGAATAACCTCCCCCACCCTTGTCTCTGAACCCAGGGCCTCATACATTCTAGACAAATGCCACACCACTGAACTACCTCCACAGCCCTTTTTATTTTATTTGGAGACAAGGTCTCTCTAAGTTGTTGAGGCTGGCCTCAAACTTGTGATCCTCTTGCCTTAGTCTTATGAGTAGCTGGGATTTACAGTCACGCACCACTACGCCTGGTAGGAATAACTTTTTAGAAATATCCAAAAAGGAAGTTCCTRGATTTGGGTTAATGGAGAAGGTATGCAGATTCTAAGTTGTATGGGTAATTTTGTGGTGTGGGACACATGTATTGAAAACTGTTCTGGGAGCAGAGGTCTGTGAACTCTAGGAGCTGGTAGGGAGTTTTTGGTTGCACTTGGAGAGATTATTTTAGAATTATTGTCTTTTCTACATARTGAAGTAATAATTCATGCCCTTAACCTGCTCAGTCACTGGGTGAGCTTTCCTATTGGACTGGAATTTTCATGAAGTTGAACTTTATGTTATATTTCTTCTGCAATAGTGGGAAGAGTAATATAGACCCCCTAGAGTTTAGAATCTTAAAAAAAAATTAACCACAGGAGGTGTGCTCGGCTACTGAGTTACATCCACAGCCCTTTTTATTTTTTATTTTGAGACCAAGTCACTAAATTTCCCAGGCTGGTCTTGAATTTGTGATCCTCCTGACTCAGTCTCCCTAGTTACTGGGATTACAGGTGTGTATCACTGTGCCTGGTTTAGAATYTTTATTTTTCTTTAGTGAAAAATAAGTCCAAATAGATTAACACAGATTTTGGGTTAATTATTTTGCTTTTGAAACTAAAAATAGGGATTCCACCTCTTGGGTCCCCTTCTTCCTCCGGGAGAAGTCTTTTCTGCTGTCCTTTAATAAATTTCTAATTTCTACTCTGGAAAAAAAAAGAAACTAAAAATAATTATGCAAGAAATACATATTCAAGCCACACACAGTGGCACATGCCTATAATCCCAGTGACTTGGAAGGCTGAGGCAAGAGTATCACAAGTTCAAAGCCAGCCTAGGCAATTTTTTTTATATTTATTTTTCAGTTGACACAACATCTTTATTTATTTTTATGTGGTGCTGAGGATCGAACCCAGCACCCCGAGCATGCCAGGAGAGCATGTTACCGCTTGAGCCACATCCSCAGCCTAGGCAATTTAGCAAGGCTCTAAGCAATTTAGTGAGACCCTGTTTTAAAATAACAAGAGCCCCCTGGGTTCAATTCCCAGTAGAAAAAAAATAGAAATACATATTCCTTTGGGAGATTTAGGAAATATAGATGGCTATACAAAGGAAATAAAGCTCACTGATAAATAGAGCCATTGTTAACATTTCAATATTTTGGTATTTGTATTAGGCCTTTATCTCCATCCCTATTTATACATGTATGTTTAACTTCTTTTCTTACAAAAATAGCAACATCCTGAATAGGAGAAAGTTTTGACAGTTGATGTCCATGCSGTAGAGCAATTGCATGTACCCAGAATCTGAATGTTTTCATTTGTAGGCATCTCGTCTGGTACCTTCCCCTTTGCTTGCTATAGGGATGCAGGATATAATATTAATTATCTAATTACATTTGAGAATTTTTTCCACCCAACCATTTGCTTTTACTTAACAGCAGGGAAATAAATGT